TGAGGAGAGCAGCATAAAAAATTATTTTATACTCTCTAACCAAACACTAGAATATATTTTTCGGAAAAAAAATTTTCACTCACCAACCAAACAAGGGAAAATAAGTGATAAAATCATTCACGCACCCTAAATATTCAGTGTTTAATCCAAAGACAAAATCTTAGGTATCAAATATATTTAGATTCAACTAGTTTAATTTTTATAAAAACAAATGAGCTAAAAAAATATTAAAAGTCAAATTCTTTCTTTCTTCCCCACTTTTCCACCAATTATAAATTTTTCCCTTACGTTCGTTGTCTTTTTTTCCTTTCTTCCCTGTTTCTTTAACACAATATCCTGTGGCGCAAGCTGACAATGACAATAATGTAGGCGACAGTAACGAATTTAAAAAATTTGGCACATAGTTACGGCTGCCTACTCAAAATCGCCCTAGAGCAGTAATCACTGGTGAGCCTGATGCACTTGACACCAACCAAAATTGAATATTTTAATAGTGAAATTGCATGGTGTTGATAGTACCAGTACCAACTTATGGGCGTTGAATTTAATACTCAGTAGTAACAAAATTAGCTGGATTTCTACTTTTGGGATGCCCAGTTTGAAAACTGAAATTTCCCTCGAGTCAAGAGAGGAGTTTCATGCTTTGTATGGTAATTAATGGAGTCTATCTAACAGATGCATTCAGAACTGAAAGATCCTCGACAGAAAGTACAAGTAACACGACAAAATTCCAAAGTCAAAATTTGAATCAAACTCTAGATTCGAAATAGATCAAAAAGAATCAAGATTTACTACTACATTGGTTCATTCTCATCTGCTGCTCTTCATTAGGCATTACAACTGAAACTCTAAAATCAAAAAGGCGCTTGGACTAAAATGGGTCAATTGATTAGTAAGAATACAAGGGGTTTCCACTTGGTGCTACAGCTACTATTACTAGGACTTAGGGTTATAGTAGTAATTTTCTTAAGCATAAACAGATCCACAGGAAAGTGCCATCAAAAGTATCGCCGCTTGTTCTTCCTCTCTTAATTTGCCTCCCAATGCCATCAATTTCATTTTCAATGACTGTCCTTTATTTTCTCTACTATTTTTTCTCCACTGATTTTCCTCTTCTTTTTGCTAACACTTCTTCCTTTGTCCAGACCTAAAAGCTGCCTCCTCTTCTTGTTGTATTTGATCCCACATGCGTTACATAACGACTTAAATACAAAAAATAAATTAAATCAGAACTATGATAAGGTAGCTAACACAAGAAAACAAAATAGTTCAATAAGATTTTGATCTAGAAACGTTTACCTTAGGACCTGCTGGACCACTTCTCCAAAGAGGCGTTCTTGTGGTATGACAATCACTGCAAGTTTTCATTTCCTCTACTTCTGATCCCTAAAAGAAAACATCCAAAGACAACACGAGATCAGCAATCAGAATCAGAAAAGAAAAGCCAACGAGATCGCTATACATGACTTATGGATCATGACTCACCTTTACTTCCTTCAGATCCATTACTATAAGCTCTACTCTACTAGCTAAATGGTTTAACAAATGCTACTGGAAATCCCAATCAAGATCAAGTAAGTACAAGTTTAAAGGAGGCTACGTAGAATATTAAATAGATAGAGATTGAAAAGCGGGAGAAAGATTGGTACAAGAGCGAAAGATTTGTACCGTTAATGTGGATTTTAGTGGGATAAGAGAGAGACTAGAGAAACAGTAGTAAGTTGGAATGGCTAAAAATATAAGGGCAGGGGAATAGGGGAGTAAAGGGGGATAGGGAAGCTAAAACGGCGATATCTGGTGGACTGGACACTAGTCAGCAGGACACGACATCATAGTTAACTCTAGATTCGAGTTTTGCAATTACAGTAATACCCCTCTGATTCCAACAGTTTCCTCTCTCCACCAATCTCAGTCGTGGAATTATTATTGATCCAACGTTTGGGTCATTCGAACCTAAGTTGTCTTCTAGTGCTAAGTGCTAACGAGGGATGTGGTGGGAATACACACCAGTGGTGATGCCAATTTTCATTTGTTCTTCAAGAATTTTGGGTAAGATGACAAAAGGCAAAACCATGGGCATGCCACAAGATTGCTCTTAATTTGACTGTTTGGAGGAGTTCCTAAAGAATTACGTTAAACTGTATATCTTTTTGGTTCCTAAAGAATTATATCAATGGCTCACATGTAAATCCAAAATATACCAGTAGCTACAGCAAATGGAAGCGATCACCTGACTATCACTTCAATTATGAGATCAATAAATGGAGCTTCGTTTGATAATTCTGGAAAAGGAGGCATAGGAGGGGTTTTCCGAAATATAAAAGTAACAGGATATTAGGATACATCAAAGCATATTCCTTTCACGACTACTCTATATGTTTGCAGAGTTATTACGGATTGCAGCTCATATCCCTTGGTCATTAAATCTGACTTAAAGGAGGTAATCAATATGCTACTCAATGGTAACGAATGCTATTCTCATCTAACAGATGGATGCAGGTCAATGATTATATAATTGTCTATCCGTAAAACGGTACAAGTTGAATTTGTAACGTGATTTATAGACAAGCGAATCTATTTAATCCCAAAATGACAAATAAATTAAATAAAATGCAAGACTTAGCATTGAAATCGAGATAAGACAGCAAATAGCTTGGTTCCGGGAGCAGAGCTTCCGAAAGCAGTAATAATAATATCAATATACAAGAAATAAAGTGTTATTGAGCTTTTGAATAATATGTAGCATAAGTTTGTGAGAAAATTCGTCCCTTACCATGAATATTAAAGCCATTATTTATAGTTGCACCAAGGGAACAAGGTCCTATGATCAAGCCCCTCTTAAATGACAATTATGAGGATCATTGATGAATATGTAACGGCAGGCTATGAATGCCGAAATTCTCTATAACGGATTGTGTATTTAATACTGAAGAATATCCTTCATTGACTGTCATCGGGTGGCAAACATTCATTTGTCTTTACTAGCAACATTCCCTTCGGGATCTTTCCGGTGTCAATTGAAGCTGCTGTCTCAGGTCTTGGCTTCTACTTGCCTCGCTTTCTGTCTACCTCTGGTTCCATGTGTCGCTCTATTATTCGAATATATAATGTGAACCGATATACAGATAGTCCCCCTGCTTTCCGGTGGAACATCTTTGTGTCATCGGAAAGTCGGCGAAGATACCTTCCTTGGCGGAAAATTTTCTGATCCCCTCTTAAAAGTTTCTGACGCTTGATCAGACACACGTCTCTCCGCAATTAATGCCCCGAACACACGTTACTCCACGATTCAGTAATATTTTTGCAGGTTCTCGAGGTAATTATAGCCACGATTTTAGCCGCCTATTCCTTTACTTATACGTCTCACTCTTCTTCTTTTACACTTCACAGTTTTTCAAACTCTCTCAACTTCTCTACACTCAACTCTTTCTTGCTTTCGCTCTTCTTTAATCTTCTTTTCATACTTTTGTACTTGTGTTGCTTGGTACGTTTGTTATATAAAAGTATTTTTCATTCAAGCATTGCGTAAAGTTTGCTCTTTTGCATCGAATTATGCAAGGCTTCAGGTGCATTTTTCCCCGATAGCATTTGGGTTCTGGGCATAAACTCTTCCGGAACCAACCCTTTAGTGTGAGGGTTTCATAAGAGAGGGCCCTATTATGTTTACGGTTCTCTTGAAGAGGACGTATCATGTTTATCTCCCTTGTCGCCGGTTGATCTCCTTTTATTTGTTTAATTCCCTCTGGAGTTGGGAATTTCATAAATTGATGGTATGTTGATGGCACAACCTTCATCTCGTGTAGCCATGGTCTTCCAGGAATAGTGTTGTAGCCTATGTCGCCATCTACTACTTCAAACAGGGTTGTCTTCATGATCCATTCAGCATTTGTGGGCAGCAGGATCTCCCCTCGGGTTATCACACTTACAGAGTTGAACCCGGCGAGGAGCTTTATGGCTAGAATAATGCTTCCACTTAGCTTGGCTTGTTCCAGCACTCTCCATTGAATAATATTGGTTGAACTCCCTAGGTCCACGAAACACGTTTAATTTTTAAATCTAAAATATTAAGAGAAATTACCAGGATCATTGTGAGGTAGTAGGAGTCCATCGGTGTTCTCCTCCGTGAAGGTGATATCGTCCTCGACGACTTCCCGGAGTCTTTTGCTATGAGTCACTGATACCCTTTGTCTTCTTTGCTGCTAAAAAGGTTACACCATTAATCTTATTCCCTCCGAAAATCATGTTGATCGTTAGACAAGGAGGATTGTAAGGCCCCGTAAAATTTCACTTAAAATTCGGGGTTTTGTGGTGCCGAGGTAGGCTAATGCATTTGAGGATTGTAGAAAATCGCTTGCTCGTCGCGGTATGGACTTTTTGGGTTGAAAAGATCATTGGGGGGGTTGAAGGAAATTTTTTGCAGAACAGGGCATTTCTATGGTCCATTATGCGACCGCAGATCTGTCGCAGAGTGAAGCAGGGAATTAGGCTAATTTTGGATGTTGTTTTGCGGTCAACTATGCGATAGCATAATTGTTTCGCGTGCCATACATCCGTCGCAGAACCAATATGAGAAATTTCGAAAGGAGGTTCTGTGGTCCATTATGCGACTGCATAATTGATCTGTGGATCACAGACTTATCACATACCCGCACAAAAGTGGCCAGTTCCAGATGGCCATTATACGGTCCATTTTGCGGACCGTAGAAGTGATATGCGACCGCAGATCTACATCAGGGCTTTATTTTTTTAATTTTATAACCCGGTCCCATTTCGTTTTAGCTAGCCTTAGGGGTCATTTTTGAGGGATTATCTGATATTTTAAAGAGATAAGAGAACTATTCTAAAGAGAGAAATGGGAGGATCCAAGGATTTCACCACTCAACTCGAATCAAGCCTTGGAATTTTATCAAGAGGAACTTGCTAGGGTATCTAAAAGGTAAGAATTTCTCCCCCCCAATTCTCCAAATTCGGATTTGGGTTGGTTATGGTTGATGAGAGCAGACTTACACATGCATGAGCTAATAGGGATTGTGGGAAAGTTGTTGGATAATCTTGGGTGGTTTTGTTGTTGAACTGGTTGTGGAAAGGTTGGGTTGTCATTGTAGCAGCTCTTGCCATACGAATTCCTCTAATCGTGCTTGTAATTCTCCCATATTTTATAGATCGGTATCGTTAGGAGTGTCAGGACGTTATTGTTGCAACATGGAAAGCTCTTTCGAGGTATGAAGGTTGAACTCTTCTTCTACTAGTATCGGAACTCTCGTATTCTTACAAAACTCCATCGTGTATAGTTCGAATTTGAAACACCATTGAGGTGGGATATTTAAGCTAGTAAATTAATTCCCAAATTGCATAACGTGTCAGAACCCTCATGTGTTAATGATTCTCTATTTTGATTTAATTATGTCACACCCTTTTTGGGAAGAAAATTTTGTACGAAATCAATGTGATTACACCTCCACCCGCACACATTGGGATGAGGCGTCAGGTCTGCTTCGTGTAGAGATTGTGGTATTGTGATTACACCTCCACCCGTACATATTAGGGTAAGGCAGCACGACTGCTTTGTGTAGAGATTGTGGTATTGTGATTACACCTCCACCCGCACACATTGGAGTGAGGCGGCAAGGCCGCTTTGTGTAGAGATTGTGGTATTGTGATTACATCTTCACCCGTACACATTGGGGTGAGGCGGCAGGACCGCTTTGCGTAGACATTGTGGCATTGCAATTACACCTCCACTCGCACACATTGGGGTGAGGCGGCAGGGCCGCTTTGTGTAGAGATTGTGGTATCGTGGTAGAGGTCGTTATAGAGGATCCCCAGCTTGAAAGTTATAAATGTTATTGAAATCTTTAATGAATTTGTTATGGTTTTAACGGATATTTAAGCTCTTTTATTGCTTTTATGATTCGTCACATTCATGTTGTACTTCCAATCCTTGAAGGGGTGTTTGGTTTTCATACTAGTACTATTCGTCATGTACTAACGTCCCTGTTTCTGGGAGCGCTGCATCTTTAATGGATGTAGGTGATTCCACAGCAGACAACTTTGATCAGTAATAGCAGTGCACCCTCTTCCCAGCTGACCCCGCTTTATCTCGGCCCTTGTTGCCGGTACTATCATAGTACTCTTTTGTATCTATTAGAGGCTCCGTTGACAAAATGTGGGTTGTATGATTCTGTCGGAAAAGTCAAACTAGTAATGTTGTATTTGTATCATATGTTTCCACCTCTAAACTATAAATGGGTAATGTAATATTTTGGGAGATCTTGAATGAAGTTCGAATGGTAATGAAATTTGGATTGTTCATGTAACCTTCTCATTGCCTAAGTAATGAAATATATCTTCTCTTTATTCATGGGTGAGTTTGGGTAGGAGGCATTGTACGGGTTTGCTTGGTCGGGTTATCTCGGTTGAGTGTCGATTGCGCTTCCTTAGGTCGGGGCATGACAAGGATCTTCTCCTGTCTTTGAGGGTTTCGCGTTATCCTGGCTGCGGCCATAGTTATTTTTATCCCAGTCGCTTAAGAACTATCTGAGATGGTCGTTTTTCAGCAATGTCGCCACCTCCTCGCGCAGATGTCGGCAGTCCCTAGTCCGGTAGCCGTTAGTACCATGATACTCATACCAGAGATTAGGATCCCTCTTGCTAGGATCAGATCTCACCGGCCTCGGGAACCGTGTGTTCTTAATGTTTGTTATCATCGATACCAGTTCCACTACGTTAATATTGAAGTTATACTCAGACAATATGGGGTAGGTGGAATCCCGGGAGTCTGATGTCTCTTTGTCCTGTAACGATCTGTTATTCCGGCCATGCTCAACTCTCCTATCGGTAGTGAACCTGCCCGCCGACCGAAAACCTCTGCCGCATCCTTCATCCCTTTCGTAGGGTAAGAAATCGGCCTTTAGAAGACCATCAATTTGCGTCGTAATCATCCTTCAACTTTTCCTTATTCTTCTCTCGATCCCGACCCTTGATTGATGCCAGAAAACCGAGCTGGTCATCCTCTATTCTTATCTTTGATTTGTAGCGGTTGTAGACATCTTCCCATGTTGTTGCCCGGAACTCGAGAAGACTTTTTTTCAGCTTCTGGGAAGCGTTAGAGCTCCTTGAGTTTATCCCCTTAGTAAATGCCTCAGCTGCCCATTCATCTAGCACGGCTGGTAGCAGCATTCTTTCCTTCTGAAATCTGGTCACAAACTCCCGCAGCAATTTAGACTCTCCTTGCGCAATTCTAAATATATCGGTC